CATAAATGAAGAACAGGCCTGCCCGAAGAAAATTGCAAGAATTACAGTGTGTATTCCCTGCGAGCAGAGGTCTCTTTTCGGCATGGTCAGGGGGGTAAACAAGCCAACTGCGCACATGTTCTCGACGCGAATGACTTCGTAAATGCCAAACCCCATGTCCGCGGAAAGAAGCCTTAGCTCGCAGGGTTTTATACGTGTATCGCAGAACCTCGCGTAGCTTAGGTGAAGGGCAAGTAGTAGGAATGAAGAGAAGAAACCCAAGAGAGAAAGAGAGCGAGAGAAAGAGAGCGAGAAAACAAAATTTAAAAACAAAAACAAACAAACATAACAAACCGGAGTGGAACTGGGTCCTATTTGTGTTTTTATGTCGATAACTGGCGATTTGCGGCAGAGTTTCTGTTTTAACGAAATTTATCCTTAGCGCCAAGCGAAAAAGCACAGGGAGTCCCTGCTCTTGCTCGTTGGAACTTGAATGTTTTAAGAAAATGTATGAGAATAAACAAAATGCGTTCTAAATTCCGCTTTTTAAAAAGATTCGAAATAAAAATAACTCAGCTTGTTTTTTTGTTGTTTGTTGTTGTGTCGTTTACTATTTGTTCGCCTTTAGAGCCATTTTCGACGGCGTTTTAGCGTTCGAGTTGTACTTAAAAATCTAAAACTCACCAAACCCGTTTCGCGGTGGCCCGAGAAAAAAAAACAAGGCGAGTCACTTTTTTTCACGAATCCTTTCAAAAAGTGTAATTTAGAACGTATTTCGTTTATTCTCTCAAAAAATACGATTTCCACCTTAACGTACTCGCGTAGAATCTGGGCTGCCTGTGGACAAAACTGTTTTGATGGGCACGAACCATGCATGTAGACGACCGGTAGCTATAGGTGAGGTTTACGAGATGAAGCCGGGAAGAAGTCGGGTGATCTTAAGGGACTTTCGCCCCACGATCTCCTAGTACGTAAATGTAACCTGCCGTTGAAGTGAAACCCTGAGTCCTGATTAATCAACACTAATCGTTTTTTTGTTAATTTCAAAAATACATCTCGACAAGCCAGGAGCAATAATACCTCGTTTCTGTTTGTCAAGGGCACTTTACACTGGTTCATAAATAGTGCGTCAGACAACAACGGCTTCTCTTATCTTAGGCTTATGAAGCGACCGTTAAAAGTCAATATTTGTTGAATGGATTACTTGCAGACGACGTCTGAATGCATTTGTTAATAACCTGGGAAACTTTACAGTGTTTTGAATCGACCTAACAGCAATATCTTGACTGACTGACGCTTATTTAGTTAAAATTGCGTCATAGAGGTTATTATCCTTGGGGTCGGGTGATATTTATGTATCGTATGTTCAACGAGCCGAGTCATTGATTCATTAAATCATTATCGGTACACGGTTAGCATTGTGAACTAGGAGGACTAAAGTGTTAGAAATGGCATAAAAGTCAGGCATTTTAGATAAATTTGGTGATTATGGTAAGTGCTACACTTAAATACCATTCTACTAAGTAAAAAAACTACTTAGAAAGGTTTCCAATAGGACTCGTGACAATTCGTTCGAAACTCATTCGAAGTAAACCACGAAGGATTAGCCCATTTTTTATGACCTCTTTTTATTCGAATTAACCGGCTGCAATCTGCGTTGCATCTTTGACTGTGGCGTATGCTCTTCAGACTTTGTTGCTGTTTTATTAACCCTCTGAAAATTTACCAGATAAAATGCATGAACAGAGGTTCAAACAAGTTAGCAATTTAAAAAATCGTGAAAAGGAAGTCAAAAGTCAAGAAAAGCAAACATCAATTGAAAAGAATTTTAATCTCTCCCATTCTTAATATATTTTGTCTGGTTTAATATCGAATCAGGCATTAGTTTCTATCGCTTTGTTGACTTTACGACCGTTATTACTTCGAGGTAAGAGTCTTCTTAAAATTTGTTATGAAATACTGTTCTGGTTTTACACCTACTAAATATAAAAACAAAAATTTGTAGCTATCTAATCAGTTTAAATCGATTTTCTGGTAGGTTCCAGGATGACGAAAAGTCCGAATTAAAACCGAATTAATTTTAAATAAGAAATTGGCCTTTGCTGTCAGTGTTAATCACAGTGGTTCTTCTCTGGTTTCCAAGAAGAACCAAGTTGACGAATGCATTTTAAGACCAATAAACGCAAAGAGGACTTGAAATTGACGGGCTTTTTCCAACGTGATTTATATAGACGGATATGGACGGCCTGGAAAGTTTTGGGAAAATTGACGTGGGCCAGATTCAAAAATAAGGGTCACCAAACGACCGAATGCTTCCAGATAAGACAGACATATCTCAAATGGTTTTGTCTATGCATTAGAAGCCGGTTTGGTTGATTTGGAGCTTCCCTAATAACTATTTATGTGTTCGGATGTGCTTAAAGGAACTGTTGTCGTCTCGAAAGGTTTAGGTGCCCTTTTCCGTCCCGCTTCCCTTTTAATCAACTTCCCCTTGTTTCCCAGTAAGGACAACAACAACTTTGAGCAGCTGAAAATGGAGAAGAGGGTGACAAAATACTCAGTAATCAATTTTAAACTTTATAAATATTTAATATTTAAACCCCATGAACCCCTGGAGTGTCAAGCAAAGCAAACCTACAGCCCAAGAGGATGCACACGATGACGGGATGAAGAGGAGGTAGGTGGGCCTCCTCTCAGCGACACTGTGATCGTTCCGGGGTAGAGAGGAGGTAGGTGCGCCTCCTGACTAACCTAACTTCAGGGGATAGAGATTGGAGGGTGTTGGACTCTCAAAAACCCTGTCTATGGGGCAAAAGTGTGACCAGAGGAGCACTTCATCCCAAGTTCTATAAATTGGGGTATCATGTTATGAGTCCAGTCGGAAGGTTGAAGACATGGTGTAGCCTCATTTTTAACACAAGACTGATTCTCAGGAACATTTTGTCTTTGAATTGCACCGAAATTTTTAGGAGGCCATTTTTAACAGTAATCGCAATACCTTTGTAATAAATTATGAAACGAAACCTCCGAAAATCGTAGGTAATAGTTGCGTAGAAAAACTCCGCATGTTCTAGACGAACGGAAGCGTCATCCAGAAATGTTAAGCCTTTCTCGAGATTTAGAAATTTGTAGTCAATAATTGCCCCTTCGAACGGTTACGTTACTGAACAAATTCGTTAGATACACCCCTGAAAAATTATCGCGGATTCCGTCGTGCTAGCAAACTCATATTACATCGAGCCAGTTTAAAACCTGAGTGTTTTGGGAATATATATTCTCTTACGGTCACTTAGATCACTTTTGAAAATGTATGTTGAATAGCATAGAAACGTCAAGTTTATAAAATACGAAAACTCACAATGTTTATCACCGGTATTTGTGTTCTATTATTGATCAAACTACGATGGCCCAAGAACAAAAGTCTCTATGATACGGTTTTGGGAAAGGTTAGTCTCCTGATTCCCAGGAAAAGGCAAAGGTATTTGTCACTTTTTGTATGATTAAAGAAGAAACAAAACAAGTGATCGTGACAAAAACAACAGCAAAAACGACAACGACAACAACAACAACAATTGTCACGTTAGGTCACGCATTTCCTGATATGAACTTCGTCCCCTCGTGGCCCCCAGTCCGTTCGAGGTAGTTTCGAAAACGAAGCACCCAAATCTCGAAAAAGCCGTGAGCACCCAAAAACTTGAAAACGAAGACCCCTAAACTTGAAACCGGTTTGTCCTTTATAAACACGAGACAGTGTCTTGCTAATACAGCAGGAATCAAGCACTATAACGAATAGAATGCAGTTCAAATCTACTCAAGTAGAACTGCGAGGTGTTGTAAATGCATTTCCGCCGCTGCGTGGGAGGCTATACAGTTTGGACGTGATCAGAAAACCTAGAACGCCCAAACTATTTCTAGAATGTTACTGTATGGCCAGGAAAAGCCAATCAAGCGGCAGTCTCCCACACACAGCCTTCCTTTGTCTAGTCCTTTGTCTAGCGTGGCGTAAGAGTCTTACGCGCGAGTCTCACTCTCCGTTTTCAACCTCGTTAAAGACCTTTTGTGTTAGTGCTCGCGCATACTTGCATACGTCAAAATACGGTCAGCTTTGAAGTCTACATAAACATGTATGTGTACCGAAAAAATACATATTAAGATAAGATGAATCAAGTATAGCAAGACTAATAATAAAACTAATACAGGATATCCTATCTAGAAACTTTCAGTTATACAGTTGGCAGGCTTTCATAAAACCTTGGGATGGATTTTGTCGACCTTTGTAGGTTTGAACGCATCCGCTGCCTCCACCCGATTCGGATTGGGTCATGCTAGACGTAAAATTGTTGTTTAATTCAACCTACAGTGGTTTCGAGTTTTGGGTGCTTCGTTTTCGAGATTTGGGTGCTTCGTTTTCGATAGGTGCTTCGTTTTCGAGATTTAGGTGCTTCGTTTTCGAGTTTTGGGTGCTTCGTGCTTCGGTCTTCGTTTTCGAAACTACCGTCTGTTCGACTAGTTACTGACATGATGTTCAGCAGTGCAGGTTTATAAAAATGGACAGTTTTCACCAGCCCAGTGCGTTGAGTTTCGACGGAAATACGTGAGAAAATTTGAGAAGATTTAGGCAGCGATACGAGATCTACTTAACAGCTTCCACAAGCGAAAAGAAAGATGCTACGGTCAAGATAGCTATTTTGCTCAACTTCGCCGGCGAAAGATGCATGCCATTGAGGTGCTCAATATCTTCCAGTTTCCTGAGGGCGACGAGAAAAAGCTAGACAAAGTGCTTGAACAGTTTGAGCGTTACTGTAACCCCAGGAAAAACGTGGTCTTCGAGAGATTGCAATTTTGGCAAATAACAGAAGAATTCCGAAACCGTGGATCAATTTGTCACGCGTTTGAAAACAAGGTAAAATCATGCGAGTGCTGGTCGGTCGATGACATGGTAAGAGATAAGTTCGTGTTTTCTGGCTGTGAAGGAACGACGGTTGAGAGACGAAAAGCTTACATTAGAGAAAGCGATTTGTATGGCGAGAGCGTCTGAAGCCTCGAAAGAACAGATTAAAGGAATGGCTCCAAAAGAACACAGCGATGAAAATTCCTCGTTGCATGAAATCCAATATTGCGGCAAACAAAAGAAGAATTCTCCGCGCCAACCAGGGTCAGGTCCCACATTGCAACTAGGAAATTGTAAGTTTTGTGGTTCTTCTCACTTGTGGGGTTCTTGTCCTGCTTTTGGTAAAACGTGTGGTTATTGCCAGAGAAAACACCATTTTGCTCGCGTGTGCCGAAAGAAATTGGAAAATCTTGGTGGGAAAACAGTGCATGCCATGGCTGAAGAGCCAGACGACAGCGACACTGGAGCTGATCTGTTTACATTTTCAGTGGAATGAAGCAGCGAATGGCCCCGTCAGTATGACTGGCACGTCATGTTTAAGATCGCTGGTACTAACGTGAATTTTAAACTAGATTCTGGTGCAGATTGTAATGTGATTTCCGCGTCGTTGTTTGATCGACTTCCCGTGGCTCAGAAACAGGATCACAGTGCAAAGCAAAGCTGAAAGTGTATGATGGTCGCAAAATTACGCCCAAAGGAAAAGCCAGTCTTGTTTGTGAGTACAAAGGAAAGTTCACAGTGTTGGAGTTCATATTAGTCGAGCAAGACTTGCCATCCATTCTTGGCCTTAAGTCCTGTCTTGAACTTGGACTGGTACAGAAGATTTACAGGTTCAAAGAAGAGAGCTTAGAGAGCGAATATGCTGACGTCTTTGAGGGCCTTGGAGAGATAAGAGGTGCCCAGCACAAAATCAAAATTGATCCCAACGCCACCCCTGTTATTCATCCCCCTTGCAGAGTTCCTGTTGCCCTTCGTGAACCTCTCAAGGAGGAACTTCAGCGAATGGAGAAGCCAGGAGTCATAATGAAAGCCAGTGACCCCACCGCTTAGGTACACAGCCTTGTAATTGCAAAGAAAAAGAACAACAAAATTAGAGTATGCTGGGATCCCAGCGACCTCAATCGAGCCGTCATGCGTGAGCATTTTCCTATGCAAAAGATAGAAGACGTCATTAGCAGAACGACCAACGCAAAGGTGTTACCTTCAACACACCTTTCGGCAGATACAGCTACTCGCGCTTACCCTTCGGAATTGCTTCAGCTCCTGAGGTGTTTCAGAATATCATGTCTCTCTTGTTTGATGATATAGAAGGTGTGGAAGTCATTCTGGATGACCTGGTGAGAGAACACTGAGCAGCATGGTGTCAGGCTAGCGCTTCCACAGGTGTTAGACCGTTGTCGTGAACGGAATCTCAAGCTCGATGAAGGTAAGTGCCTTTTTCGTGTATCCGAAGTGAGTTATTCGGGCCATGTGTTGAGTGCTGATGGCGTAAAACGAGATCCTTTAAAAGTCGAAGCAGTTAATGCTATGTCACCCCCAAGTGATCGCCAAGAGTTGTAGAGGTTTTTGGGTGTTGTGACGTATTTGTCCAACTTCATTCCAAGCACGTCCCAAAAAAGTGTTCCACTGCGCCAGCTACTTCAGAAAGATGTTGCATGTTCCTGGCGAGAGGCAGAAAATAAGGCATTTGAAAGCCTTAAGACAGCAATTTCATCCACACCAGTCCTTAAGTTCTTCGACCCCAAACAGCCAGTATCTCTGTGTGTTGATGCCAGTTCAAAGGGCTTAGGTGCTGTCATCCTACAGAACAACCAGCCAGTGGCCTACGCTTCTAAAGCCCTAACGGAGAGCCAGCAAAACTATGCACATATGCGCAGATAGAAAGAGAGATGCTGGCGATAGTTTTTGGCTGCGAGCGCTTCCATGATTTCTTGTACGGACAGAATGTTGTAACAGTAGGAAGTGACCACAAACCATAAGCAATCTTGAAGAAACCCATTCATCAAGCGCCTCTCCGTCTCCAAAAGTTGATCCTTCGAGCCAAGCCTTACGCAGTCAATGTGAAATGCGTGCCAGGAAGCAGTTTTGTATCAGCAGATACTCCATGCAGAGTCTTCTTACCTATCGAAACACCACATGGGCCTGATGAGTTTGAAATTCATGTCTTGGACTCTGAAAACTTTTCAGAACCCATATGCTCCAGAAACTGAAAGATGAGACAAAAGGATCCAGAACTTCAGCAGCTGAAGACGGTTGTCATGGATGGGTGGCCGCAAATCAAGGATAAAACACCCGCAGAAACCAGGCCATACTGGAACTACAGAAATGAAATAAGTTGTTATGAGGACTGATGTTCAAGGGTGATCGAATAATAGTTCCGCATAGTTTGGGACCAGAAATTCTTCACCGCATTCATGAATTTCATTTTGGAATAGATAAATGTCGAGCACAAACGAGAGGTGCACACTGCACCTCTCATGGCTCAGTATCAATGGTGCAGTTGACGAGATGATATCTCAGTGCAGTACTTGTCAGAAACATCAGCGAAGCAACCAAAGAGAGCCTTTTATTTGATACCACAGCAAGTCCCAAAGAGACCTTGCACTACGGTTGCAGCGGACATTTTCTATTACAAAGGGAGAGATTTTCTGTTAGTAGGCGACTGCAATTCAAAGTACCCTTAAGTAGCTCGCCTTACCAGCAAGAATAGTGAAGCAGTTATCTTGGCAATGAAAGACATGTTCGCGCGTCACGGCATTCCTGAGAGATTGATTGCTGACAACATGCCATTCAATAGCCTGAAATTTAAGAACTTTGCAAGCGAATGGAAGATTGAGGTGGTTACTTCAAGTCTACACTGCCCAAATTCTAATGGGCTCATAGAAAGGAATAAGCAAACGATCAAGCAGCTACTTAAGAAAGTAGATGGGTCCAAGCAGGATGAATTTCTTGCTTTACTGGAATTTCACAGCTCTCCTATCAGTGGCATGAAGGAGACCCCGCAGAATTGCTCACGAGTAGGAAGTTGAGGACGAGACCTCCAACTCCTAAGTACCTTCTTTAACCAATGCCAAGTCCGCCAGCAGTTGCTGTCCCGTCAACGAAGTCAGAAAAACTTCTATGACCGTGGTACCCGGCCCCTACCTGAACTGCATCAGGGCGAAGCAGTGAGAATACAGCAAGAGCGTGAGTGAAAACCGACTGTGGTTCTTAAACAACATGTGGCTTCTCGTTCCTATATAGTTGGAACTCCGGATGGCACGCAGATGCGTAGAAATCGGGTCCACCTCCAGCAAACTAAGGAGGCAGTTCATGTTGCAAGACCGGATTTAGAACCAGTCAGTAACGAGCCCAGCCATCTTTGCTGCTGAACACTGAGGATGGAGTTGAAACAGGCAGGACTGAACTGCACTCAAGTCAAAATGAGCAGTCTGAAGTTCAGGTTGGTGAGCCACCCCTAAGAAGGAGTCAAAGGGTTCGAAGAGCACCCCAGCGTCTTATTGAGACATTTGTTACAAGCTTGCTAAGCTTAAGTCATGAAAGAATTTTACGGTTGACTTTATTTCGACATTAATTTGCTATGAACTTTCTAAGAGTAGTCACTCAAAAGGGGAGATGTCACGTTAGGTCACGCATTTCCTTTCATGGACTTCGTTCCTCGTGGCCCCCAGTCTGTTCAACTAGCTACTATGACAACAATAACCACAAAAACAACAAAACGCATGTTTTACTATGCCGTCATTGATATGTAGGGAAACTGGAATCTATCCACGTTAAGGTTTTGGCTCTTCTCTGATATCTGAAACTCAGTCTGAGATGCTGATTGCCTCGTCGCGGGCAATCATAACCTTGTTCAGTTTTTCATCATGTGAGATCATTTCATCACGTGAGCAACCTTCGTGTTGTGATTGTCTGTATGATCTTCAAGTTTGTTTGCGACACCCTCCATATTACCCCCTTCGGGAGCGAACAAAAAGTATCTGATTTTACATCCTAATGGCAACTAAAATATATCAAGTACGCTTTGATAATACTGATCTGTAATAGCAAAGCACGTACAGTCGAACCTTCCGTAAACCTCATAGATAGATACCTGCATTATTCTATCTAGTATTAATAATTGTGGTTAATTATTAACCACTTGTGTAAATTTTAAATTCAAATTTTAGGGGTCGTTAAAAGATATTTTCTGTCGGTATAGCTTTGGCTCTGAGGAAGCCGAAATATTGGCCTATAAGAAATCAGCCGTTTGCCGTAGTGCCAACCCTGCATTCAGTTTTTTTTATTTTACATTTTAAAGGAGCTGTGTCACGAAATTCAGCTAAATTAGGCAATTACTGAAATGCCCGTTAAATTAAGAGAAACGTAAAAATAACCGCTTAAAACATTAAAGGAAGGTTAAAATAACACAACAGATACAACAGCTGCCACGGATGGGCAAAACTGAAGAAGATCGAAACGGATTGAAATTGGGGTTTTTGAAAACTGTTCAGCCTAACAGTTTTTCAAAGTTGATCTCTGCTGTTTGCAACTTCAAAAATAATGCTCAGGAGACATATTTGTTTGTCTCGAATCTCTGATTTTGTCATTTACATGTAATTTCTTTGCTTACTTTAAGTTCCATAGCGATTGAGGGCGAGTAATTGGCAAAATTGAACAAAATGAACTGGACTGCCGTGACACAGCCCCTTTAAGTGACGTCTGCCTACAGCATCTCTTTAATTAGAGATGCGGCAAGGGGAACCAGTCAGTTATATTTACGCGTTGTGTGGGCCTCTGCATTCAAACAGTTTCTCCGAGGAGGTCGCTTACAAGAATCGAACAAAAGGGCGCTTCTTCCAAGACGAGGTCCGGGTACATCTACTTTCTGGAAAATAATTTCTTGCATACAATTTGTAAGTTACGCCATGTGTAGGCCCATGTTGTTATACACAGCGAACATAGAGATCAGAGAATGCGTCAAGTGGTCCTTACAAGAGGTTAAAAACAAAAGAAAATCATATACTTTCAGGCCCAAAAACGTTGTTGGTCGCGGTCGCTTACAGGAGGTGGTCGTTTACTAGAGGTTCCAACTCTGGTTGCAACTGCAAGGCTTTGACTGGGAAAGTTGTGGTATTTTGGACAAGTGGTCGCTTATGGGAGCTGGCCGCTTACGAGAGGTGGTCGCACATGGAGGTTCGACTGTAAATAAATTTCGACCAAAAGAGGGAGGAAATTGGGAAATGGAAGTTTTATTTGCCTTATAAATTATTCAAATTAAATGATCTTTTATTTTGGTTTTGATTTTAGACTATATCATTCAGTTGATGAGTTGATATAAAAAGTCAAAATCACTGGACAATTATACCTCTAATCCATCCAAAAGTCAAGGTAATTGTAACTTTTTTTTAGTAATTAAGTGGGGGGACGTTATAAATGGGAATTTTGACATAAAAAACTCAAAACTGTGTGCTAAACTGACTACCCATCGGTAGTTAACGTGCTAAGCCATCATCGGTTAACTCTGGCACCGGCTGTGTTGC